AGTTCGAGGTCGGTTATAAGGTATTTCTGAAGGTCTCACCGGTGAGGGGTGTGATCTGGTTTGGGAAGAAAGGGAAGTTACGACCTCGTTTCATCGGACCCTTCGAGATACTCGAGCGAGTCGGCGACCTTGCCTATCGGTTGGCTCTACCCCCAGAGTTGTCGGGAGTTCATGATGTTTTTCACGTCTCGATGTTGAGACGATATGTATATGATCCTGGGCACATAGTGAACTTTGATGAGTTTGAGGTCGGGCAGGACTTGACGTACGATGAAGTACCGGTAGCTATTTTGGATCGAAAGGTCCACAAGTTGAGGAACCGGGAAATAATGCTCGTCAAAGTTCAGTGGAGCCGCCACGGCGAGGACGAGGCGACTTGGGAGAGAGAGAGAGAGCTACAGATTAAATATCCGAACTTTGCATTTTGAGTCTTTTTATGCATTTTATTTCCATGTAATTTCCGAGGACGAAAATATTTTAAGGAGGTTAGGTTTGTAACGCCTCGTTTTATGAATAATAGAATAAGACCACTTGCATTTCATTTTTAGCTTGATTTTTCATTTAAATGAATTAATCCGATAATCAAATTAAGTAGATGTCCTCGTCTACCTAATTTTCTTATTTGTTTATATGATTAAATTGTTTTAATAGTTTAATTGCTTAATTAATTGTCTAATTGCTTAATTATTTCTTTAACTCGCTTAATTGTTCGTGTGCTCGTTTATTGTATTTTCCTAAGTTATCTAAGTTTCGCATGGCAAAGATTTTCGAAAATTCAAGCTAAGTTCGGCCATTTTCTATTTTGGAGCCTAAACTGATTTTGTTCTAGAGCCTAATTAGTAATTTTGGCCTAAGTTCTATTTTCTTGCCCAAGTCTCGAAATTTTCCCAAGTATTTTGCCTACGTTTTGTACCTTTCTTTTCTAAGTAATTCGGCCCTTTAGTACATTTAAAGTGTTGATATAACACAAGAACAAGTCCAAGCACACCCTAACTCACTCCCTCAATTTTCTCAGATTTTCTTTACCCCAGTAGCACTCTCCTCAGCTCCATCACCAGCCCCAACAAGAAAATAATGACCAGGTCATAACAAACCCCCATCAGACTCGCACCTCAAGTCTCCCTCACCTCTCAATCTCATTTAAAATTCAAAAGGCTAACCCACGTTATAAATTCCCCTCACCACCTGAAGCCTTCATCTTACTTATGCCTTTGGATTTACATCAATTACACCAAAGAAAGATGACTTAATGCTTAGCAATCAATCCCCAGCCCTCAGAATTTCTTTACCTGCAGCAACCGAGAGCTCGCCGCAGCTGCCTTCACGTGAGCACCGGGTAACCTGAAC